TGGTAGTTACGTATTGCTTTGTTAGATCGATCGCAACATAAAGTTTAGACCGCTGCCTTTTACTTCTTTTCCGTAGCTGGGATTTGATGGAAAATATGGAATCGACGGTGCCGCGGTTGGTACGAAAACCCGCTTGCGATTCTGGAAGAATTTTTCTATATGTGGGTGCAGGCGGTTTGACATTATTTTGCAAGAATTTTTCCGCCGATAGCCAATAGCGAAATTCCCCGGTAATTTCCGCAGTCTGATGCACTTCCTTTGTTCTAAATATATTCACTATATACGCATTGCGAAAATCCTGAGGTACCTCTCCGCTTTCCCATACGACATCAAAGAGAGCTTTAAGATGACCAATAAGTTCTTTACTTGCACACTTATAGATTTTCGCCGGAATATCGTCACAGCCAGCTTATTTGTTGTTTTAAGCTGTTTTATTGAGGTCTTTATTTCTTTTTCTGTTATTGGGATGTCCAATACATCGAGGCTGTTATACCGAGGTATTGTGTTTAATGCTTCCATATTGGGGTTGTTTTCTTGGTTATGGATATGGCTGTAATGTTCTTCCAGCGATTTGTAATTTGTTCTTCCTCTTTAAGAAGTTCGCCATTTTGAGCCATGATTGAGCAGCTTACCTTCTTAGTTGGGCCGTATACTTTTTTACAGCCTCGAAGAATTTACGATAATCGTGATGCGTGGCGTACTCTGAATCTGATTCGCTTTTTGTGACCACCAGTTATCCTTTACTTGGCGCAGTTCTCCTCGAAGCGTGTTGTTGGCTGCTTTAAAGTTGTCTACCAGTCTTTGATTATGTGGATTTGCAGTGACGGCTTGATATGCTCTATGCTTTGTTCCAACAGCCCGTATATGCGGTTGATTTTCGTCAAACCAGTCTGGTTGTTTTTTTGTCTGACTTTCCCAGTACTGCTTCGCTGGTTTTATGAATCGCATCCCCTAATTGTGTCCAGCCTTGTTCAGCTTCCAATACTGAGATTGAAGTTATCGGCGGAAGTGATTCTTTGATGGTTTCCCGGAGGGCGTCGGCGGTATAGTTGTTTTCTAGACCCCGTACATTCAATCTGGTCATGTTGTTTTGCTTTTTACAGCGTGGATGTTTGGGTTTTAACTGACTTTTCATTTTGAAATTAAAAGTCGGTGGTCAGTGCCGCATGCGGCATCTATTCTGGCTTTTGTGAGCCTAACATCTTTAGATGCGTCCTTCGAACGATGACGTGGTCCAACTGATGCCAGTGGCCTGATCTAGGATGTTTCCAGGTACCTTTAAACTTGTCCTTCAACATGAACCACGTATTGATGATGCAAAGATTATACTCCGCGCATGTTGTTAATAAGCGTTCACCATTGCTATTTGCGTTTCCCATTCCATGTTTTCCAATACGTCAGGCCATATTTCCTGTTGTTTGCCTACACGGGCATTAAAGTCACCTAGCGAGATGATTCGTTCGTGCTTTGGAATTCGTTGAAGGGCATTTTGTAAAGTTTGGTAAAATTTATCCTATCTTCAATTTTAGCGTCAAGGGTGGGAGCGTAGGCACTAATGATGTTGATGTAAGTTTCGTCTGATATGGGGTACCTTAGGTCATAAGACGTTCGGAGACACCAATAGGTACTTCTGTTAACTTGATGGCGATTTCGTTTTTGATCGCAATGCATACACCATGAATTCTCCTGTGTGTTGCGGGATGACCTTTCCAAAAGAAGGTGTAATGCTCCTCAGTGAGACTACCTTCATCTGCAAAGCGTGTTTCGCTTAGAGCGGCAACATCTATATTTAATCGGTGGAGTTCCTGTGAGACCAGTGCTGTTCTTCTCTCTGGTCGATTTGAATTTATCTTGTCCAGTAGAGTGCGGACGTTCCTCCTGATTTGGCGGCATAGCAACATCGCAACAGGAGAATCTAGGAATTTTCATTCATCCTCGAAATCCGTTGTACTACGCCGGCATATTTCTAAAACTGACGTTGCCAAACTGCTTTTTATTATTAAAAGAAACACGATTATGATACTTTTATTCCATTATAAAATTTAAAATAGTTAAGTAGTTAAGCATTAAATGAAAAAATTGACGTTAGCAAATTAATGTACTTGATATATTATAGAAAAATAACGAAATTATTTATTACTTAATAATTACAGGTAAATCTGGCAAATGTTTTCGGTGTAAGAGAGATGCGAAAATAAGGATAGAATAATGGCCGATGAAGGAAAAAGGTAAACAATTGTATCTCTTGAGTTTAAATATCTTTGATCAGTGTCAAGGATTTCATCGTAAGCCAAACTATTGTAGCCATGCGCATAACGATTTATTATTGGCTAGTGCTACCTCCCAATTTTAGTGCCCCTCCCTGAAAATAGTGGAAATATTGACTAGTATATGCGACAATGCAGACTTTAAACTGACTAATAATCCAGTGGCGGTGTGATTGTATTGTATTTTAACTGTGATTGGCTGTGGTTGTATGATATGCTCATTCCTTAGTCGGTTTATTCAATAATTCTCAACTTAATTACAATTATGCTTAGAGTTAAAATTACACAAGCATATAAAGTAGAAAAATCCTCTCTAATATTAGTTACATACCTTAAATGGTATCATAACTAATCAGTCCTATTTTAGCTAGTTCAGACTTAATACTAACATAAAATAAAACATCTTAAAAGATTTAATGAGTAGTCTTTATCTTTGCGACTAAAATGTTAAGCAAAATGAAAATAGAAACGACGAGACAGAAATCTTTGTTAGTTACTATGTGCTACAAATAACAGTATTATTAGTGATGGATTAAAACAGTGAAGAATTTTGAACTTTCAGACAGCGGTCAGTTTTTTTACTTACTAAGTTGTCCGAATCCTGAAAAGCAAAAAAATGTTCAAGCCGAGATCCAATTTGGTTTTGAAAATAAAACAAAAACAAAAAGATAGAAGAGAGATAGAGCTAAAAAATATATACGGGGCGATCCGTCGTGAACCGCCCTGTATATTCTTTGTGAGTAATGTGAGTGTACACAGGGGTAAGGGAAAAAATGATCAAAAAATTCATAAAGGTCTTAATCGTTTTCGTGTGAAGAATTATGACCTTTTATAAAATGTCATTTTTAAAATATAATATATATAGAATGTATTTGTGAAGGAATGTTGGGAGGAATGTCATGGTATATACAGTGTGGGCTAAAAAGTTCGCAACAAATGAGGAAAAATGTTAGGTTAATAAAAAAAATTATCATCAATCATTCACATTTTTTTGGGACACCGTGTATTCAAGAAGATATATTTATGATATGATATGACTTTATAAAGCACGAAATATTTGTATCGAACTTTTTTCATATATTGGTCAACGAAAATATTGATGGACTTCCAAAAAAAATCTTTATAAACCGCCACCATCAGCGTTGACAGATGATTTAATTAATTTTTTTGATGAGAAATTTTGTTTCAAAAACTCAATATTTTTTACCATTTGTTGCAAAGATTTTGTAATACACTGTAGAATTGTGGGTGTCAAAAGTGAACAAAAATAAATAGAATCTTTGGACTTACGGTCTCGTTTCCTGCTGCGGTGACCAATTCCTGCAAAGCTCGCACTGATAGAGCCTGTTCTATAACGAACACGCATTGCGACAGGTCTGGAGGAATATTCTGTAGATTAAGTAAAAAAGATTATTTCAAAAATGTACTAATATAATAACGGATGTACTATTTAAAATAATAAAGATGATACTATTTTTCAAATTTAGACAAGATTTAAATCATTGAGCATTGGTCGTTTTGAGCTTGTAAGTGAATATATATATATTGTTACGTTTTTCGTCGGTTCCGGGTGGTTAGAAAGTCACAATTTATTTAACACTAAATAACAAACAATAACGATTAAAAAACTTAAAGAACTATTTATAACTTATTTACAATTTATCTAACAGGAATTTATTTTGAATATAGCGCGGCGATTGTAACTGTCGTCGACCGTAACGCGTCGACCGGTTGTTTATCTCTATCCTCTTCATGCCTCAGGTGTCTGCTTATATATGAGAGCAACAGACAAACCAGATTTATCCCGTCAATTCTTAGCCGTTCTACAAGGTCGGCGTCGCCGGCGTATGAGTCATAGCCGAGTGGCCAAGCCTAAGGCCGAGTTCACACGGTACGGGTTCGCAACACTGCCCCCTTCTTAGGTACATGCTCGTCCCGAGATGTACACGGTGAATGAAGGTATTTGCAAAGCTTGAGATTGAGTAGAAAAGAAGTCTGGTAGAAAAAGCAGTCTACAGTTTTCTCGCCCGATCTCAGCTTTGGGTTATAGCAGCAAACGAGGATCTCGATTACCGTAAATCTAAACGAGACTTCAATCATGTTCCGAATTGTACGCCAACTCAAACCATCGAGTCCACACGCGAGCTTCGGAATGGCTAATCGTGTAATGTTATTGTTTAGCAGGGATTCTCTCAGTTCAATCAGGGTTTTCCATAGATTGAGATAAGTCGGCTTACTCGGGGACCATTCCTTGGTGACCAGGTAGAAGATGTGTCTTGCTTGACCATGTGCATTGTCGGTTAGCCTCAAGACGCTTCCAACCTCTGGATCTTGTCGGCGTAGTTCTCCGACACGCCCAAACTTCTCATTGAACGTCGCAGCGACATCCGCAAATCTCGGGCCACACAGTGAGCAAGCGAATAATCAGGAGGCACGGAAAAGAGGTTTCGTTGTTCTTCTTTGGTTACACCATAATAGCGAGCCTTCTCACTGCTGTTGTATCGGGTCATGAAATCATCAAAGGACATCTCCGAATCAGGGGGATCAAAGCTGCAGGTTCTCACGGTCCCAGCACGATCTTCTATTTCGCCTTGGTAGGGGCTCAAACGGTTGAAATGAACTATCCTCGGTTTTCCTTTTGGCAATTTTCTGATACGGTATACGACGTCATTAATCCTATCCATGACTTCGTATGGGCCTTTCCACGAGGATTGTAGCTTCGGAGATAATCCACGACGTCTCTGCGGGTTGTACAGCCACACCAAATTCCCTGGTTGGTATCCCCCATGCTCAGCTTGAATGTCGTAGTGCTCCTTCATTCGGTCATTAGCACTTTGAATATTTAAGCGGACTCGCTGATGGATGTCGTCCATCCTTTGACGTAGTCTGTGGACATAATCTTTTCCAGCGACATCTTCTCCCGGTCGGCAACCAAACTTCAGATCACAAGGTAGACGCACTTCCCGTCCCATAACGATGCTGGCTGGAGTTTGCCCTGTGGATTCTTGGACGGAAGAGCGGTAGGCCAACAGGAACAGGTGAAGGAATTTGTCCCAGTCTCTTTGGTGGTCAGAGACTACTTTGGCCAAATAACGGTTGATGGTTATGTTCATGCGTTCAACCATCCCATCGGATTGTGGATGTAGAGCCGTCGTCCTGATCTTGCGGATGTTAAGGACTTCACAGATGCCTTGGAACAGATTGGACTCGAAGTTTCTTCCCTGATCTGAATGTAGCTCCATGGGAACACCAAACCGGCAGATCCATTCCTTAACAAGAGCATCAGCAATGGTGGACGCTTCTTGATTTGGCAACGCGTAGGCCTCGACTCATTTGCTGAAGTAATCCATTACTACCACAATGTATTTGTTGCCATCGTTCGTTTCCGGGAAAGGACCAGCCACGTGGATAGCTATTCGTTCGAAAGGACTGCCTACATTGTACTGGCTCATTGGAGCTTTACCGCGCTTTTGTGGCCCATTGATGGCGGCGCAAACGTCACATTTCTTGCACCAGGCCCTCACATTTTCTTTGCAGTTCACCCAATAGAACCGTTCAGCTTGCCAAGTGTCTTGGTAACACCAAGATGTCCATCGCTGGTTCCATTGTGAACTTCCTCCAAGACTTCCGGGACCCTCTTCTTTGGAATGACGATCTGCCTTCTCTCTTCTTGTCATCATATCAGGTTTCTCAGTTGATAATCATATCAGGTTTCTCAATTTTCTACTATCTTCGGGAGATAATCCCTTAACGTTTACTAACTCCTTCACCATTTTGTCCGGAATTTTTCAAGTCGAAACTTTGGAGGCTTCCACGCTTCGAATGACTGAGACCGAACAACAGTACCCTAACAGGGTTCCCTTCTTCAAGGATACAGAATAATAATTCGTATTCATTACTCTCACCGGTACAGTCTTCTTCGCTCGTAGCAGGGCTTTTCCAACAGCGACCCCCCGTCCTATTTCGCTGTCATGGTTTCTTGGCTCCAACAGAATAATACTCCCATTATTGATTTTACCTTCCAGGCAACCATCCAAAAATATCTCACAGCGCTCAGGAATCAAAACATCTTCTGCTACCACCACGCGAAGTGTCTCCTCACATTTTCAATGAAGAACCACTTCTTCTTCATTTATTTTCAAAATTCCCTGTTTGAAGTTTAGTTCAAAACCTCTAGTGGTCATGATGTCCATTCCGAGAATAAGTTCATCTTCGATATCTGCTACTAACACTGGATGTTCAAAATTAGTGCTGCCAATAACAAAATTAAGGTTTACTTCTCCATGGACAGCAGCGGCGCCCCCCGTAGCAGTACGTAGTCGCCATTGTGTTGTTTTAACCCTCTTCGATGTTTTAAGAATGTCCGGTCTGATGATAGTTTTCGTCGCACCTGTATCCAACAGCATGGTCCGGAATTCTCCATCGACAAAACCATCCACAAAAATGCTGTTGAATTTGTGTTGTAGCGAGGCGATTTGAGCAGTTTTCGTTGGGGCATGTTGGGTACAGGTCGACGTGTGCCCCTTCATTTCGACCCTTAGTAGTTTTCCGACCTCGACGAAGCCGGTTCTTCATTTCTCTCCTTACAACGGCTTCGCACGTGTCCTACCTGTCCACAGTTCCAGCAACGAATCGGCCCCATCTTGCGTATGTACTGGTCCATTACTTTCCGAACAATCCCTTCCACGGATTCGTCGGAACATTCGTCGATGGTCCGTACTCTTCCTAAAGACCGAGAACTTTGTTTCGCGGCCTCAAATTCTAGGGCACGTGCTAAAGCATCCACCAAGTGTGTTCATTCAAACCATAACATTCTCGGGCGTAGCAGGGTACGCAAGGCGAACGAGGCGGGCTTCAAACTCCTGCAGAGACTCATTTGACTTCTGAATGCGATTTTTTAGTTGGGAATGAAAAACATGCTCCAAATGAGCTTGGCCGTACCTCATTTCTAAATGTCGTACCAATTGCTGATAATCTCCCTGTTCCGATGGTGAGAGTGTCTGCAGGATGTCAGTCGCATCTCCCCGCAGTGCGGTCAAAGCGGTAGCTTTTTCAGCGATTGTCCAGCCGTTCGCTCTTGCAGCAGCTTCAAATTGGCAAAAGTAGTTGGCCCAAGCGGTTTTTCCGTCAAACTGTGGAGGCTTCATAACTGACTTTGAGATATACCTATTTTCGACGAGTGTCGGGTCCTCCGATGATTCTTGACATTTTGGTGAATTTGCTTTTGCTATTTGTTCTTTCAAAATTTTGATTTTTCTATTTACATCTTCCTCAATCTCTGTTATTTTATTGTTAAAACTTTCTTCCAAAATTATTATTTTATTATTAAAGCTGGCCTGTATATCTTTAGAATTTTCTATGATCTTATCTTCTAATTTTTGTGAATTTTCTGTGATTTTATCACTGATTTTATCTTCTAAATTAACTTCCAAATCAATTATTTTACTATTCAAATTGTCTTCTAATTTTTGAGAATTTTCTGTAATTTTATCATTCAACCTGTCTTCCAAGTTAATTATTTTACTATTCAAATTGTGCAAGTTGTCGTGTCTAATGTTTGAGAATTCTCTGTCATTTTATTTTCTAATTTTTGTAGGCACGAGTCAAGGTCACCTTCCAACTCAAAGCAAAATGTGTCAGGGTCCTCACCTTCCTCCACCAAAACGTCTCTCAGTCTAGCTTGCAAAATGCTTTTCTTTCCATCTGTCTCGCACTCTCTCTCTTCCAAGCAGACAAAATTGCGACTAATCCAATACATTCCTGCGACATTTTTGTCTCATTTTTCTTTTGTTTCAAAATTCGGAGACTTTTCAATGTCCCGTCTCAAGTCGGTAAAGATCAAAGTGTCTAAGTTTGGTTCGTATATTTTACGACAAGTTGTCGGCGCAGTGTGGATACTGTGGATGGCGTGTGCAACAGTAGACCAGTGAAATCATATTTATATGGTTAATAAAACCCATTCGCAACAACTAAGCTTTTGACTGCGTTACTTTTGTCATTGCGGTGTGGACAATTTGTCTCTAGTTTGTCTTGTCAGAATTCCCAATTTTTTGTCGCAGTGTTTGTCTTGTTTTGTCTCAAAATCGTGTTTACTTTTTGTCGCCTTGGTCTGGACCCGGCATTAAAGTGCGTTCACAGTGGCCGCGCCGCGCAAATCATTTTCTTAACATATACTTTGTGCGCACTAAAAAAATACACTTCAAAAGTGCATGTTAAAAAAATGTATCGCGCGGAGCGGCGCAGCCTGTGTGAACGCACCTTTAGATTTTAACGCTTGATGTGACAAGAAATCAGGTTAGGAAAAACATTTTCTTTGTCAAAAACGATTCGAGGTAACTTTTTTGTTACAAGGGACCAAAAGTTTAGTAAACACTAGAAGGACCTTCTTACCAAAAAAAATTAGTCGTCATTGAAGTTGTAAAACATTTCTGCTAGAATTTATGTAGGGGTGAGGGTAGTTTTCATCCTTTTCGTATTCTTTTTTTGTCTAAATCAAATAATAGCCTAGCAAAACGAGATTCCAAGTCTCAATAAAATCGGAATATCAGTCCTTAAAATATGCCCTCTAACGGACAAATGAAACACTTTTGTACAGAGGTAAATTGTGCTCAATTAACTTATAATGATTCTAAAAATACATAGTATTTATATATTCTATGTGGACAGATTATTTGGACACCCTGGATATGGACTTTTTTAGGAATACCGTGTATAAATATGTTGGCGATATACCTACCTTGTCTGCGATATTTTCTAAAAAGCAATGCCGATTACCAAACCCTTCTGCGGCAAGACATACGCGTTCTCCTGTGGCTGTACAGGATAAACACACCATGTCTTCCTAAAATTCAAATAAAAAAACATGTTTTAACATCTAAAATAATTAGATTATAAAAAGAACCAAGAAATATTACAATAATTTAAAAAAAAATATTCAGGGTGGTTCAAACTGTATTCCGGAAACTTCACCAGCATATTTTACTGTTAAAAATAAGTAAAAAAGTTCATACAAATGTATGTCCTAAAATGCTTAGTTTCAGAGATACAGGGTGTAGAAGTTACATTTTTATTTCGATTTTTTCTAAATAATTTCTAAAGTAACGTCAATATTTGGATGAAAATTGATGTCTGGGAGTTTCTGGACGTGAGAAATTTGATTTTGATGTCAATATGACTCCTATTTTTAGTGGGCGCTACCTACATGGTTTTTAACTGTTTTGAAGAGTAATAACTTTTTGTCCGTACCTGTATAAAACTACTGAGTGAAAAAATATACATTTACGGCGTTTTTCACGTAAAAAAGGTCTCTTAGTAAAAATCTCTGCCGAGTAATGATTCTCGAGATATTTGGAGTCGAAATTACCAATACCTGTCATCATTGACATAAATTAAACATGTTGACTAAAGAGTTCTTAGACTGAAATCATAAATTTGAAATGTTTTTGTGCCAGAAGTTCAACAGAAACTGTTTTATCGTAATTTTTCCGAAGAAAAATTTATGATTAGTTTAAAAAAATAAAAAGTTCCCAAATTTCTCATTTCAGTCAAATAACTATCTACTTAACATGTTTATTTTTAGTCAATAATGACATGTATTGACTATTTCCATTCTAAATATCTTGAGAACGGTTGCTCCTGATTTCCGTGATTTTCTACGTAAAAAATGTCTCTTGGTAAAAATTGCTACCGTTCAGGAGCAACCGTTCTCAAGATATTTAGAATGGAAACAGTCAATACATGTCATTATTGACTAAAAATAAACATGTTAAGTAGATAGTTATTTGACTGAAATGAGAAATTTGGGAACTTTTTATTTTTTTAAACTAATCATAAATTTTTCTTCGGAAAAATTACGATAAAACAGTTTCTGTTGAACTTCTGGCACAAAAACATTTCAAATTTATGATTTCAGTCTAAGAACTCTTTAGTCAACATGTTTAATTTATGTCAATGATGACAGGTATTGGTAATTTCGACTCCAAATATCTCGAGAACCATTACTCGGCAGAGATTTTTACTAAGAGACCTTTTTTACGTGAAAAACGCCGTAAATGTATATTTTTAAACTCACTAGTTTTATACAGGTACGGACGAAAAGTTATTACACTTCAAACCGAAGCTTCAAGTTAAAAATATGTAGGTGGCGCGGGCGTCCTCTACAGGTAGGAGTCATATTGCCATCAAAATCAAAATTCTCATGTCGAAAAACTCCCAGACACCAATTTTCATCCAAATATTAAGGTTACTTCAGAAATTATTTGGAAAAAATCCAAATAAAACTGAAACTTCTACATCATGTATCTCCGAAACTAATCATTTTAGGGCATACATTTATACGAACTTTTTTACTTATTTTTACCCACAAATTATGCTAATAAAATTTCCGGAATACAGTTCGGACCACCCTGTATTTACAGGGTGACCCAGTGTTCAGAAAACGCTATGGTTTTGATTTGTTAAAATAGCACAAAATTGGGTAAAAACTACGTTCACTTAGGAACACATAAAATAATAAGTGGGAAAAAATAAATATGGGTTTTATAATTTTGACAAAGTTTGGAGTATGATTTAGTACAAAAATGGATGTATTTCAAAAACATATTAAAAAAATATAGTTTTTGATGGTATTATAGTATTTATAGCTCGTAGAGCAGGAAAATTGGCAATAGTGTGAAAACAAGTGTCAAATTTGTATTGTCGTATCTTGTCAAATAGTCGGAAAAAATACAAACAAAATCGGGAAAATTCAGCTATTTTCAAATATCTTCGGAAGTAATCAGATTTTTTTAGATCTTGAAAAATAACGTTGTAGAATCAGGACAACGCAATTTTCTCTAATTTAATAAATTTTGTATCTTTTCTGGTGTACAAAATCCCCTGTACGCCTTCTTACTTCTTATATGGGACACGATATTTTTATATTATAATTTTTACGACAAAACTACTGACTAAAAGAATATACAGCATTCGATAAAAAAAACTACAACTTGAATGTAATAGTTATTTTTGTATCTAATGCATGAAGTACTACTTCGGTGGTCGATAATTGTTTTTTTAACGAGGCGTAGCCGAGTTGAAAAATTAATCGAAATCACCAAAATAGTTCGCGCACGAGTTGCAAACAACATTTTTTCTAAAAACATTAAAATCGGGATAATAGTATGATAGCAAAACACTTGCAGCTGTCACATTATGAGGCCTACACTTCAGCCACATTCCTTGCTAATGCAGGGGGTGATATATTTAGTTTGAAGCGCCACGGAGGATGGAAATCTTCGACAGTGGTCGAAGGATACGTCGAGGATTCTATCAACAATAAAATTCGAATATCAAATAAAATTTTCAAAGTCTCAAGTCCCAAAACCCCCATATCTCCAGTAAAATCAGAACTATCTAGTTTGGGATTAAATATTGGTTCGTGTACTGGTTGTACTATTAATGTTAATATTGTAAATAATAACTAGAATATGCATTAGTGTTAAGTTTGATATTTGTTATTTGTTTATTTTTGAATATTTCGAAATAAATAATTAGTGATGATTTAGTTCTTCATTTTCCAAAAATCAAAATTCCATAATCCCATATAATTAACATCACAGATTATACAGATTATAATCTTTGTTTTTTCTTTATTGTTTTTCGTGGTTCCAATTTTCGGAATCGGGCACTAGTTAGGTTACTAGTTTGCGCACATAGCACGCCCACTTATGGCCTCTAAAATTGTGCACAGCGCCTGACCGGCACATTTATTAGAGAGATATCGGAAAATCGAATAGCGTCATCCAGTATTTACGCGTACCTTATCATGGTTACGATATGCGCGAGTCAATTTTTAATGCAACACCTGCTAATAACGTTACCGCCTGACGTAATTTGCGGATCAATTACACCAAGCGCTCTTTCTAAATAACCTCTGATAACGTTTAAAAATTGCTTAAATGTCGCATGTGCGGGTATTTGACAACCGGAGCCGGCCGGCGAGATCTTTTATTTTAGATTATGTTTGAATTGTTTTGAATTATTGCTTTAGTTTTATTAGATTGATATTTAAGTAGCTGGGATTAGTTTTAATTAAATAAATATGGCCCAAAATATGGATTCCACTACTCTATTGCAATACTAAAGAACCTATAAAGAGTCTTAGGTTTACAGCAGATGACGACTTAGCCCTTCTAAGAGAATTTGTTGCTTGTTGCCCTAAACCCACTGGCAGACGTTGAACAATAAAGCACTGGAAATAAGCACTTTAGCCCTTTAGTTTTAAAATACCTAGTAAACAAAACAATTTCAAAGTTAGGTTAAGTTTAAATAGCGGACGCGACGCGATCAGAATTCTTTCCGATCCGATAACTATAAATGAAGAGAGTTAATACCACCTCACGTAAAGAAAATAACACCTGGCCTTATTAACGTCCATGCACGCTATTCGGTTTAGCGATATCTCTCTATTACGCTGTTTATTGTTATTTTACGCGAGTTTATTTTTGCGCACAGGAAATTTGACTCGTTTGCACATCGTCATAAAAAACAATTTTCGTACCACGAATTAGGGACAAGATTTTTATCTGTATACTTATAGGATACCTAATCTGTGTTAACATGCAGTGTGCGAAATTGGCATTTCGCGCATTAGTTCGTGTCATGGTAACGTAGAAAAATGAAAAAAATTGTCACTTTGCACATTGCTATCTATTCGCGAACCTTGTCATTTTTTGACGTTTGTAGAAAAAATAGTATATTAAAATCACACTGTATATCCATGAGAATATTATTAAAATATGTGCGGTACTATTGACCCAATATTTTATAAAAACATTTCAGAGAAAATTAAAAATAGCAAATAAAATCTGGAACTTTTTCCGAATACTGGACAACCCTGTATAATAAATATGATTATGTATTTATTCTTTTTAATTATAAATATTAATAACCGTGCGTGATTTACAGAACTAAGATCTTTTTTTACATAATAAAAAGAAAAATTAATTTACAAAATAATTAAGAAAATAAAGGTTCTGTATCAATATTTACACAACAAAGAAATAAAAAAGTCTGGGTAAAATTATACTAAATCAAAACACAAAGACAAAACATAAAATCTTAAACATAAAGTATATAGAGTTGCATAACAATGCAATTTGTAAACACCGCATCTCATAAATTTAAAAATATTGATCTAAATTATCTCCACATCTATTTGTCGATACCACGACCAAAAGAACATAGTAAACTTAGAAAAAAATACACAAATTCAAAGAACAAACTTAAATTAACAAAAAAAAATACAAAAGATTTAAAAACAATAAACTTACCGTCCGCAAGAACGAAACATCGTCCTGCTCCGAGCCCCCTTCAGCTTCAGCCACCATTTTGGAGGCCTATTTTATCCTGTAAACAAAGCCATTAATCAGTCGTCTGTTTGGGGAAGATTTGTTAGCTGGATATCGCATGTCAGATGCATATTTTTTGTTTTTTGGAAATACGCGCAAAGAGGAAACAACAAATGTTCCGCATCAAGGGTAGCCAACTTGAGAAAACGAAAGTGTGTCAGTGGGTCTTCAGTGTTACCATCGGTAGAATATAAAAGCGTTATTTATTGTAGATACTTGTTAAAACGCGTTAAAAACCTTTTTAATTAATATTGAGCAATAAAAAAAAACCTTCTGTGCAATCTACCGTGTGACCGAAAAAAACGGTGTCTAGTTGGCTTGGAAATGGCGATCGATGACAGTTCCCATATTATTTTACATAAAAAATGACAGCGATCTTCGTTTCACACCATCGCTGACGCTCTTTCTTATTGTACTAGAAACTGCAAGTTCACAGAAAACTTAAGTCTTTTTATATTTAAATCAATTTAATGACTTAAGTCATTTGCAGTGCCGGATTAAGGTCCTAGCGGGCCCGGGGCTATAGGCTACCCTTGGGGCTCCCAGGTCGGATTATTTTTTCCTCATTGCTGTTATTTTCACTTAAACTAATATTGCTTAAAGTTGAACAGGAAGGCAGTTGTTCATGATCTTGATTTTTATTCAACTCAGAATTTGACGTTAAAGGGGTTTCGCAAATACTAAAAAAGTCTGTTACTTTAGTCAATTTTAAAGTTTTCTTTAGTTTTTCTTCTTGAATCTGAAATTAATTTAAAATATCCCTAAGTTTTCGTAGATTTAAAAATACAGGGTGTTCCGAAACTATTGTATCAAAATCTAAAGGTAGGTAGATCTCGCCAAAACTGATGGTCGGAAATGCGTCGTTTTCAAAATACAGGGTGTTAAACTTTTAAGAAAAAAAATCGATCTTTTTTAATATCTATTACACCACTGTATACCACCCTACGGTACTTAAACAAAATATTATTGAATTGAATATTATTGCACCGTTTTCGCTTAAAAAAATAAAAACCATTTTCGGCATTTTCATACATGGCCAAATCGCTAAAATGGTAATGTAAATTTTTAATGGTAAAACTTGAAAAACGACAATTTAGGTTTTTGGGCATTTTAGTTCGTACTATGTTCATAGAAAGAAGTTTTTGGAAAATAAAAAATCTTTTTAAACTTAAATTTGCCGTTTTACAAATTTTGCCATTAAAATTTATGATAACATTTTAGCGATTTGGTCATGCATGAAAATGGTTTTTATTTTTTTACGCGAAAACGGTGCGTCGGACAAAAAAAGTCAAGAAATAAAATATGTTGTAAATTGAATGGTGATTTCAAAAATAATATTAATTTTATTTAAAAAGTAGTGGCGTACCATTCAACGCGAATTCCAATAGAGACTTCAAACTCTACAGATATAAAAAGACTCAAAAGACCTTTTAACAAGGTATCACTCGACCCCCTATTCCATTTAAAATTTTAAGGGTGATAGCTACTCCGTCAAAGGGGTGCAAGCAAAGAGGGTGCAAATACCAAAAAAATAAGTCTCCCTGAAAAACAAAATCGACGTGTCCGAGCATTTGTCGAATTATTTATTTGCAAGCAAGAAACCCGGGGTGGAAAGTTTTCGGTGGACCACCCTGTATAGATTTTTTCTTAAAATTATAACACCTTCTATTTTGAAAACGACGCTCTTCCGACCATTAGTATCCCATTTCAAAATATTTTGGCGAGATTTACCAATCCTTACATTTTGGCATAATAGTTTCGGAACACACTGTATATTATTGAAATTGTTGCTTAAAATAAGGCTTAAAACTCTTAAAACATCAATATCTCTCATTAATACGAGTATTGTTTAGCAATTTTCAAAATTGGAGTAGTTCTCGAATTTTTTATATTTTATGAGCATACGGGAATTCTTTTTCATTTTTCATAAAGTTTATTTTTAAAAAAGGAATAGTATTTTATGGCCTTTATGACGAGAGACTTTTTTGTTTTTCAATTCGTTTGTCTTTTTATCTTTTGTAAGCGGCCCAGAGAAAGTATGTACCTATTATATATTAATGCGCTTATTTTTAAAAGAAGAAACTTAAGAAAGTTATTGTAAATTAAATTGTTAATACCAAAGTTATTATATAAATGATCATATCCAGTAAATGCGTAATAAGGCTAAAACTGATTCCTACCTTACGTTTAGCAGATCCACTAAGATATTTTCTACATGACATTTTTTAAAATACTGGTATACACTACACAATTCAAAAACGTATTATTGTTCTTGTTTTCTTAAATCTATTATTGGCAATCACTTACTTCATAGTTGCGCTATGCAAAAATAACTAATCAAATAGCATAAAAAAGAGGAATCTAATCTGAGTAATTCCCCTAGCGCTTTCGGCTTTCAGTAATCCATCCATCCAGAAACATTTAAAAAAAAAGAACAAGCCATTGTCTATGCAGCAATCTTGATATTTTTTTGGGAAAGTGTTTTGCCGCCCAAAAAAGAAAAGAAAAAGAGTCTGTTTTTGACATTATGAGAATAACAAGTTGGCTGTTGCAATATATTTAATAAGACTAAATATATTTCTGTTGCACTGTTGTAGGTGTTCCAGGCTGGATTTTATTTTTTTATTGTTTTTAAAATACAGTTTTAGTTATTTTTATAATAAATTGAAGATTTAAAACAATATGTGACGAAAAATCGGTTTTTGTTACAAATCGGTATTTTTCGTAATATATGTACATTTTCATTTAACTAATCTCGATTTAACTCTAAGATTTAACTCTATGAATCTCGATTTTAAATTCTCCTAATTTGGGGGCCCCTCTTAATGACGGGGCTTGGGGCTATAGCCCCCATAGCCCCCCCCCCTTAATCCAGGCCTGGTCATTTGATTTAAGAGTCTATTACGCTGTACTGTTCGGGTCGCTGGGGTGGGGTAAAGCGGGTGTGTGGCCGAAGAAAATATACAGGGTGTGTCTTAAATAAGCACAAATATTTTCAGGGCTGGTAGATATCGATAAAAGAAACATATTTTCTCTTTACCATTTTTCAGATATGTCCAAAATAACCGATTTATTTAAGTTTGAAAATTAATAAAAAAAAATTTATTTGAAAAAATTTTGAGAGCCACCGGATTTTTTTCTGTATTTGCATCCCTTTTAGTGTCATAATATCCCATATAGAGAGAAATTTAAAAGAAAATGCACGATTTTCAACATCTTTTTTGCGAAAAAAAAAACTCATAGACGTGTTCCTGGTGTCGAAATATAACACCCCTGAAAATATTGTTAATTTGCTCTTATTTAAGACTCACACTGTATAAAATATTTCAGAAATATGCTTAAGGCTTAGCCCGATCCTGTTGTGTTAAGCCACACCCAAAATTCCAAACATACGAGCTTTGATTAAGAGTTGATTAAGGCTTGCAGAGCTTCAGCATTTATCATAAAATAGCGAGCTATTTAATACCAAAACCATATAAATTATATATCACTGTAATCACAAAACTTCAATCTATTTCCGTATTGTATCGTAATTTTAAATTATGTCTTTTTTTCGAGAAAATTTAGTCCAAACATAAGGAATATTTTGTTGATGTTTGACAATCAAAATCTTAAAAATAAAGAAGTTGTCTAAAAATGTGCTACAATACGGATATAGTATAATCCTTTATCTTTAATTTCCTTCTTTATTTGTCTAAAAATACCTAGCCAGTTTTACATAAAACGTTAAATGCAGAACGCTTATTTTGCTACTTTTTCGTACTCGTAAGCCATTTTAGAAATCGTTTAGAAAAAATAGAAAAAGATTTAAGTCTTTATTTTAGAAACGACTTAAGTCATTAAAAAGATTTAAGTCTTTTTATAAAAGACATGTAAAAGACATCATTAGGAAATGTTAATCAAAATTAATAACAACCATCTATCAAAGAATGAAATCGAAATTTATTACCATAGATTTTTGCCTTTTGATTTTTAATACTTCTATTTTCATGTTCTTTTTTAATTTTCTCTTAAAAGATATGGAAATTTGGAAAAGTATGAACGGGATTAACCATTTCAGAACAAGCAAACCTTTATGAAGAATGCGTTTTTCTCAAAATGTCAATAGGTAATAAAAAATTTTGCCTCTTGTATAGAATTGGTGCTATTAAGAAAATATCTCCAAGTTGTATTTAAATATAGTCTTGTTTCTAAGAAAGTTATTTTCTTCCAAACCATTGACGCAAAAATATTAAAAACAGCTGATATTTCAGATCTATCACAAGATGAATGACTTCCCGTTTAGTATGAAGTAACTAACAAATATATACCACCAAAACTTGATCTAATAAACACGAACTCTTTGATTTAGTCTAAGCATTCTGTTATGTAAATTCGTAAACAGCAAAAAGCAACCTTAAATTACTAATTTTAGATATTTAGAATATGTATGGAGAATTTTCGGCATGCTCATGCCAAATTTTAGTAAAGCGACTTAAAATTTGACTTGGCAAAACACACTGGTATGTGATGGAATGACAAAAATGGAATTAACTACAAAAAAGGCGTCAACAAACAGGAAATGTACCTACTTTTTCGATTTTTTACATTAAAAACTAATTCGCACGCACGTACAGCAGCTAAAATTCGTCAAGCAGCACTGACAGAGAGTGGCAACCTATTTTTAAAGTCGAAGCGCTTTCGATATTTTTAGAAATCAGCCGAAACAAATTTAGAAAATAGTTAGTTCACTTTGAACTAACCAAAAAACCGAGACAATGTTCTTATCACTATAGTTTTACTGCCAAATTTGCGATTTTTATAAATACAGCCTTATTTGTGTGGCTAGAAAGAGGACAAGCTGAAGTTTTAAAAGCTTTAATGTTATGGTAAAGCTTTCTACTATACTTTTTAAAATTTTGTCTCGCGGTTGTAAGAGTTTAAAGAGAGATATACAGGGTGGATCTCTCTCTCGTCGCCATCGCGAATATAAAGACAAGACGTAATGCGTGTAACGTCCTATAGGCTTGATGCATTCTCCGCTGGTGCTGCCACCATCGGAGAATATCGTAAACAACTAGTACTTACAAATACAGAGGTTTAAATAGCGAGAAAATGTATTAGTTAATTATTCTAAAAGTCTGAGGAAGTATAATTTGTGAAAATTCTAAAAATAACAAAGTAAATATTTTGATATCTTCAGAAAGTCTAACTTGTATTATAATTTATTATTTCAGTTACAAAAACTTTATAGATGAGTTCTACTACGGTAGCGAGCATATAGTCTAAGAGATGACGACATATTTAGAGAACATATTTTCAGGCAAGCTAGAATAACTAAAATAAACAAAAAATAAGACTTTTTTTTCGGGTTTAAAGTGTAACACGACCATTCCAAATATGTTTAATTATTATACCTGGAAAACATACTTTCGGCATTTCTAAAATTTTTACAGCGTGTTATTTAATAGTTGATATTAAAAAATATGTGTTAATTGCCAGACGAATTCAATGGGATTTAATACTTGCCTGACGCGAATAAAGATTTTAAATGAGCGCGATAAGAAAGTCTTATGAGTATCTATAAGCGCGAGAAAGACAGTTTATTGAGACACGGGGGTCGCGCGTCGCGTCGGCAGCCAATGCGGCTGACGTAACAGTATTTTGGAGTCGTAAAAATTAAAAAAAAAACTAACTAATATTGAATAAATAAAAGGAAACATTTTTTAATAAAAATGTATGATTGAAATCCTTTCAATAAGAATACTTTTTTTTCAATAAGAAGACATATTTTGTATCTGAAAGAATAAAAAGACGAATAATTATTTAAAAATTAGCATACTATAAAATATACTTTTTTCAAACGTCACAAAAGTATAATTATCATTATACTTTTGTGACATATTATACCGTATGATAGAAAAAAAACGGCGTCCAGTTGGCTGGGAAATGACGATCGATGACATTTCCCACATAAATTTACATATAAAATGACAGCGATCTTCATTTCATAGCCATCGTTGACGCCGTTTTTATTCGATCATACGGTATTAATTTTTGGGACCTGATTGACAATATAAAAAGTAATTTTAACGCCTAAGCATAAAAGTAAAGCACTTTTACTTACTTTGAATCTATTTAGAAAGATTAACAATGGTACTTTAATAAAATTCCAGAATACTTATTTTTTTAGCACTGTACATGGTACCCTTTTGTCGGGATTACGTTCTCTGGTAAAACCACTTCTTTAAATTTAAAACCATGTTGTTGGCGCACTTTTAAAAATTCTTTGCATTTTTGTAGTCTGCCTTCATCAAAAACAATAACTTTGTTACTAGTAACTTTATTACAAACTACACAATTTAAATGTTTTTTATCCATTGTGATTTAGTAGTTAGTAGCGAAATTAGTAGTTACTAAAATATTTATTTGCAGTAATTATTCAAATTATTTACACTATGCACATCAATTTTTAATTTATAAATACATATTTGTACATGGTAACTTAATTCCAACAAAATAATCTCTGAATTAAAAACCCGCAAATAATTGAAATGAAACCGAAAAAAAATTGTTTTTATGAAAATTTGAAGTACTCCAAAATACTGTTATGTCAGCCGCACTTATAGATACTCATAAGACTTTTTTGGCGCGCTCATTTAAAATCTTTATTCGCGTCAGGCAAGTATTAAAACCCGTTGAATTCGTCTGGCAATTAACACATATTTTTTAATATCATCTAATAAACACGCTCATGGCTACGCCAGAACTCATGGCTAAAAGATTTGAGATGGTTTGAACGCTCGTCTGCGGAAATCTTCCGGGCTGCAGTTTCCAGAGCCACAATTGCCATTTGGATCGCCAACCTTCGGCAGGAGAGGGCGTGATAAGAAGAAGAATAAACACGCTGTAAAAATTTTAGAATGCCTAAAGTATGTTTTCCAGATATAATAATTAAACATATTTGGAATGGTCGCGTTACACTTTAAACCCAAGAAAAAAGTCTGGCATACTTATTTCTAGGTTAAATAGATGCTAAAATTTAAGAATAAACAAATTTCAAGTTGCCTAAAGAATGTTTTTTGGATTTATTTTTTGCAAATGTTATGGGTTGCGCAGTAGCGAAATACCCCCAGCCCCCAGCCAGACTTAGGATTCTGGGTTCACAAGTTATTAAACTTTATTTTTTTTTGTTATTCTAACTTGCCTAAAATATGTTCTCTAAATATGTCGCCAGCTCTCCGGCTAATAGTTTTTTTAATCACCGGTTTGGCTAGTGGGGCATAATTGGGGCTATTTCGGCTATAACGAAATTTTTTAAAGGTACATAATTATAATTTTAGAAAATGTTAATAAAACATTTAATCACTAGTTGATTAAAAAAAGTATACCAATAATATTGCAAATTATATTTTATCCTCTCATAGTATAAGTCTAATTAATTTTTTGATTATGTAACGGGCACTTTGTTTACTCACTTGTTTCGTCGAACTGCTTGAATCCATTTTTGCTTTTGATCAAATCGGCGTGAAAAACTATGAACTATAAAATGTTGTTTCGGGGGAGTTGAATATCCGGAAAAGTTGAGTTATTGAATGTTATTGAACATTTTTTCGGCAATTTTGTTAACATTTGTAATTGTCACAACACAACACGACGCTTAGTTCGAATTCTTTTTCACTTATTTATTTATAATAATATTTTTTTTAATAAGTAGTTTTATTTATTTCCTCAGATAGCATGCTAATTTATATAATATATAAATTATATTATAATACCTTGATAAATAAGGTAGTACCATGCAGTTCATCATAGGATTTTATTTTATTTTTATTTATTTAAGCAACTTAACAATAGGTAAATATATAGACAAATAAATTTACAAAGAAAAACATCTTATTCATACATATTTCGAGACTCATAAACAAATGGAAAGAATAATTACTTTTTATATATTAAATTGATTGGCTGATCTCTTAATAAAGAAAATTTATTTATTATTATATCAGTAAAATTATCAGATTCTTGAAGGGCTATAAAAATATCTTTTTCGATTGAAAGTAAGGCAAGTGTATGTGGCAAGTAAGGCGATAAACGATTATTTTTCATTGAATTTATAGAGTAATTTTTAATGCGTTTGGAACATGAAAAATGTCTCTCAACCGAAGTACTTGTAAACGGTATAGTAGCAATCAAAACAAACAATTTGAAAGCCTCTGGAAATATATCTTCAAGATTATTCTCTTTAAATGATTTTATAATCGATTCTACGCTTAATTTCTCAAATTGATCGTCATTGTAGATCACCTGCAATTCGTTAATTAATTTATTTTGGTCAAAAATATTACGGTAAAAGTTTACTAAATCAGTTACTAATTGCGTTGGAAATTTTCTACTGAATTCTTTAAATTTCTTTGAATCGGCAAGAGATAAATAAAACAATTGAGACATGTCCGCAAACCGTATTTCTAATTGTGTAACAATATTATCTAATATTTCATAAAATAAAATTCGCAAAGAAGTTTTTTCCTCGCTCTTAATTGTGTTCGATAATTTAATACGTTTTACTGATGGTTCATTGCAAATTCTAAGTTCCGCAGTTTCAAAAATTTCATTAAATGCTAAGTCATTTCTCAAAGATTGAATACGGTCTTTAGCTAAAAATATTTGATTATTACAGTATCCCACATCTAAAGATTTTTTTTGCAGAATATCAAATAAAATATCTGTTACACCAAAAATTTTTGAGTAGGCCGCGGTGAGAAAAGAAAATTCCAAATTGTTTAACAGTTCTAAATATCCTGTAGCTCCGTTTATTGACTCAGCTCCTGAAGATCGGTCATCCACAATTGTTTGGAAGACAATCTTTAAGTCTTCCCATTTAGAGTCTAAAATATTTATTATTTCTGAAGAAGAAGGTATTCTACTATGTAATATGCAATCTAAAATAAATGTTCTTTTGGCGGATCGATGAAAAAAACCAGGGATGGATGTAGCATTGGCAAAATAGATACGACAGTTTTCTATAGTTTTCAAACTGTTCTGTAATACTAGATTTAGCTTATGTGCACTACAATGGGTAAACAAAGCCATGGGTGCATCATCCTTAATTTTTTCTTGTAACCCGCTTAACGTGTTCGCCATTACACTAGCGCCGTCGTAACACTGCCCTACCAACTTATTTTCATACTCAAAACGAACTAAAACAGAGCTAATTAAGTTATACATACAAGTGGCTGTTCTATCTTCACTCGCATCATAAAACCCTAAAAATCTTTCTTTAATTTCCCCGCTTTTATTCACATATCTAACTGAAACAGCACACTGAGACTTTTCCGTAATATCCGTCGTATCGTCCGCTTGCACTGAAAAAAATAACGCATTTTTTATTTCAGATTCTATTAATTCTGTGACGTGTTCTGAAATACAACCGATTAAATCGTTTTGAATTGTCTCGGACAAGCCCGAAAAAATGTTTCCAATTTGCTCTAAATGTTTTTGAATTTCTATATCGCGTTTTATAAGTAAATTAAAAGTTTCCCGAAAATTACCGGCATTACAAGAATCTTGGTTTTCATTATGCCTCCCGAATGATAACTCCTGTTTCGCCAAATGGCACGTAACATCTATCAAATAGCGTAGTAAATTTCGGTTTTTTGTTACTTCCTCGTTATATAATTTTAAAAATAGTGAAGATTGTATTGCCAAAGCATCTCGATTATTCGTACTATTCCTTTCAAGTCGTTTTAAACTAAGAAAGTTGCTCATATGCTCTTTAGATACTTCATGTTTTTTTATACTTGCCGACAAATTTTTAAAATCTGAAAATCCCTGTAAAACCCAAACACTGTTTCTATTTTTTGAAAGTAATATGCATGGCCAACAAAATAAACTTTGTTTAACATAACTTCCGCATAGCCAGTGACAACTACTATACCATTGTACATTAAAAGACCGCAAATAAGTTTGACCATGTTTTTTATCAGGTTTTAGAATGTCAAGAGATGGTTGAGGACGACCCTGGAGTAAAATTTCTTTCCGATCAGTATCATTTAATCTATAATAAGGTGTTTCTAATAACGAACAAATTATGTCATGAATAGAATTATCCATATTGAAAATTAAAATTAATTACTCCAAATTTCAATCTAAATTAATACTTATCCGTATCTCCTCCTTGTTAACCAAACCAAAAGACGGTAATTATTGGGAAAACTGGAAATCGTCCGATTTTCACCAAAATTGGTTTACACCCTAATTTGAGGTCGTAAATTACGAATCTGATTTTTTTTCTGGCGGTCTCCTACCGTTTTTCAGAAAAACGAAAAAATTATTTCAACATCGAATTTTTCTTAATTTCTCATATTTTTAAGGTTTTCTAGCACATATCTTGTTAGGTATTCAATAAACAATGAGGTTTTTGCTATTTTCTGTTAGTTTTTTAACCAATTCTATGCATAATAGAGGAAAATTTGCTAAAATAAATTTGTAAACAATCTGAAAATGTTTGGTTATGTGATGTGTTTCTGACATTTAAAGCAACGTTGCCAATGCCAATGTTAAACCTAAATTTTGCGCGTTTTTTTCGCTCATTCTTGGGATTACGAAAGGCGGTCGCCAGAGGAAAGGCCAGAGACAACTACGAGACGATCAACATGGGGCGGGCACTCCTGCGATTTGACAGGTCTTTATTTTTAGTACCTGCCCGCACCGCAGAGTGTGCTGTGGTCGCTTTCAGACGTCACCCCACTCCCCAAACTGTCGATCGGACACAATTTTCGCGTCATGACGATCAAGCGCATATGGGAATTAGGCCTGCCGGATCTCTGGCCAGTGCATGAACTACAAACAATCGTTATCGACAAGTTATCGATAATTTCCCTTTACGTCTCCCCCGTCTTGTCTATGTTCAAGGTTAATCGACAAAATCGCAACCATGAAAAATCGTTTGGACAAAATTGTAGCGATTTAGTCGATTAAAGCTTATCGATCAGGAAAAGGACCCCGCTAGCGTGAAAAAAATTGTAAAAAGTTGTCAAAGGAAATAATCCTAACCTTAAATACTCTCTTTGGCATCGTGTTGGCATCACAAAATATTTGTATTTAACATTATATTCTTTTCTAATAATTCTAGGTTTTCTTAAAAAATGGTAAGTATAAAAAAAAATAAATACTTGCCTCTGCTTATAATAATTATTTTTCATTACTCATATTTTGGTTTGTTATTTAATTGGGTACTTATACTGACTTAATCTTTTTAGACGATGGAAACAAAACGAATGAGAGTAACCTCAAGACACTGGGATTTACTTCTAGATATATTAGCAGAACACCCTGAAATGGTAACAGGGAAATTTGTATGCCAAAATGCTAAACAAAAATCTTTGGAATTGTGGAAGGATGCAGCTACTCGACTGAATGCCTTAGGATTAGGAGAAAAATCTCCAGATAAGTGGAAGCTGGCACTTCAAGACTGGAAATATAAAGTTAAAACAAAAGTTGCGGAAATAAAAGAACACGAAAAAAAACTGGAGGAGGACCCGCAATCAAGATTAAGTTAAACGAACAAGAAGAAAGGTTAATGAGTATTGTGGGATGGACTGCAGCTCTGGGTAATGAATGTGTCCCAGAAATTGGCTTAAAGCAAGATAGAGTTGATCTTAATAGTCTCAATACGCATTCTAAAGCTGACAATGGTGATGCCATGCAGTTAGATGAAGCAGAAGACATTAATACAGAGCAAGAAATCATTGTTGTACATGTGGAAAACGAGCAGACTCCTGTGAGTAATAAAAAACAAAAAAATGCATATGCCTCTAAAAGAAATGCCGACGAGGAACTTCATAAATTTCAAAATGAAACTATGGAAGTATTACGAGAAATTTCTATGGGAATACAAAATTTAAATATTGAACTAAAAAATATTTCACAGTCTCTAGAAAAAATAGCCATCAAATATGATAGTAGTTTTTAAATGCCTACTTTATGCATTACTATCATAATATTATACTACTTATAAATCAAAGAGTTATGTTGCAAATAGTTATTTTTTGTTTGATTGTTATTATTTTAAAGTTAAATAGGTACCTAACGTACCCAACCTAACTAGTTTTTTGTTGTATTTAAAATACTATTTTTGATAATAAAATAAATCGATTTATAAACAAGAGTTCCATTTTCTTTAAGTACTAGGTACCTATGGTACTACCATATACATTATATAAAACTGAAATTAAAAATATTAAGACATAGGTATTTTTAAGAAAAAATTTGGAGAGGGTGAGGTCACGAATTAACAAATAATATAACAAAATATTTATTTAACACCTAACTTAAGTTAACAAAATACACAATTTTGAAAAAAAAATATAAATATCTTAATACTAATCTAATTATTAAAATATTGGTTAATTAGACGTTGTCTTTGCCTCTGCCCTTCATTAGGCAAAAACCTCATTGGCACATTAGGTGCGTCGACAGGAACAGGATCATCTTCAAATAGTTCCAAGGCCAAGCCATCAATATCCTCTAAACTAATGTTATGTAGTACAGCACATGCTAGTATGATATATGCTGCCATTTCAGGATCATATCTAAAATTGAAATTAAAAATTTTGTTGTAGTAATCAAGCAGTTTATTTAAATTTCAGTGTAAAAAACTACTCAAGTCTTAGTAGCAGTGTTATTTACTTAAAAGGGCCAATTGTACAAACTTAACTCGAGAGTTAACCCTTTATCACAGGTTAACTTTTGAAGCAGAGGCAATCCACATTTATGCAAGTGGCCCTAAATGGCACTTCAAAATAATACAGCAATTGTGCATACCTTAATAGCCTTTCTCCAAGGATGCATCTATATCTAGTTTTAAGTACACCATTACATCTTTCAACACAGTTTCTTGCTGCACAATGAGCAGCAGTGTATCTACCTGCAGGTGTATTTGGAGCTGCATCCAATATAGGTGTCATTAGCCACGGCTGTAAGGGATAGCCGGAATCTCCTATAAGCCATGTAGCTCTCTCACCGGCATGGTACTGGCGTTCAAGCTCTGTCTTTATATTGGACATTCTCCATATATGAGAATCATGTGTGGCACCCCCATGTCTTGGATTAATGGCCAAAATCTTTAACATGGCATCGCATATCTGAAATCAATAGGAAATATAAACATTTCTTGTTTAAATTTAATTAGTTGATCAAAAAAAAAAACCAAACCAAACCCAAACACGTCTTAAATGAGCACTTTTCACACTACTATTCTGTGGGAATATTTATACAAGAAACTAGGTATTTTATCTATACTTACAATTTGTACATTTAAAGAATGGTAGCCTTTCCTATTCAGGTAATTATGTTCTTCAAGTGTTGGACACAATATTCGCACATGGGTGCAATCGATTGCTCCAATTATCCCTGGAAAATTAAATCTTCTAAAGAACTCATTTTTAATTTCCTGTTTTTGTTCAGGTGTGGCAGGAAACTTGATGAAGTTAGGTGCTAAATGGTTTGTAATTAATGTCGCCACTTCCCTAATGCAGTTCGAAACTGATTGTTGGCTCATTGATAACTCACTACTTTGACCTACAAGCCTCTGGTAACTTCCAGTGGCAAAAAATTGTAGGGCTGTAAATATTCTAGTCCTAGGAGACAGTGCACTTCTCCGTGCAATGTTTCGTATATAAGGTATTAATTGGTTTATAACCATTTCGGCTTTAGGTTTTGTTAATCTAAATCTTCTTCGGAATTCCAAATCATCCAGGTCAAAGGGATTGAATGTATCTCGCATTTGCGCCCTTTCCAAATTAAATCTTCTCAGTCGTCTTAAACGCCTTTGGCGGGCGATTAAAATATTTATTGGCAACATAAGAGCGACACAACGTAAATAGGTTTATCTAAATGAAACCTACGAGGACCTGAAAATACGTAATGTAAAATTCTCTAAATTACTCTTTAATTATTCAATAACTAATGTACTTACCACCGGTACTTACTTAATTCTTAATTCGTTTTCGATTTTACCTAATTTTGATTTTAACTGAACCCATAACTGAACGTTTTTGAGGTTAAAACCTCAAATCTTCTCCCTTTTCTGTTTTCTACTCGTATATTTTCAGGATGAATAATAACTTTTTATCGACAAAGCGAAAACACCCGAAGACATATCGGTTTTTCCGAAACGATTACTTGTGGTAGCAAAATCTTATCGAATCGATATAGAAGCCGTCGACTTTTCTATATCGATCGAGATTAAGACGATCGGTTGTGGTTCCACCCCAGTATATGTATATTATTTCGTATATTTTTCATTTTATTGATTTTATGCAAAGCACTGTTCATTAAAATGTTGTATCCTATGTTATAGGGCTTGTTTCTCTCTACAATTTCCTCTCTCACAATGTACCGTTTGTGTCAGGGAAGGGATCATAGTTTCATAGTTGTCGATTTTCGAAAGAAATCAGTACATGTATATTATTTCGTATATGTTTCATTTTATTGATTTTGTGCAAAGCAATGTTCATTAAAATGTTGTACCCTATGTTATAGGAATTGTTTCTCTCTACAATTTCCTGTCTCACAATGTACCGTTTGTGTTGGGGGAGGGATCATAGTTTCATAGTTGTCGATTTTCGAAAGAAATCAGTACATGTATATTATTTCGTATATTTTTCATTTTATAGATTGTATGCAAAGCACTGCTCATTAAAATGTTGTATCCTATGTTATAGGGCTTGTTTCTCTCTACAATTTCCTGTCTCACAATGTACCGTTTGTGTTGGGGAAGCGATCATAGTTTCATAGTTGTCGATTTTCGAAAGAAATCAGTACATGTATATTATTTCGTATATGTTTCATTTTATTGATTTTGTGCAAAGCAATGTTCATTAAAATGTTGTACCCTATGTTATAGGAATTGTTTCTCTCTACAATTTCCTGTCTCACAATGTACCGTTTGTGTTGGGGGAGGGATCATAGTTTCATAGTTGTCGATTTTCGAAAGAAATCAGTACATGTATATTATTTCGTATATGTTTCATTTTATTGATTTTGTGCAAAGCAATGTTCATTAAAATGTTGTACCCTATGTTATAGGAATTGTTTCTCTCTACAATTTCCTGTCTCACAATGTACCGTTTGTGTTGGGGGAGGGATCATAGTTTCATAGTTGTCGATTTTCGAAAGAAATCAGTACATGTATATTATTTCGTATATTTTTCATTTTATAGATTGTATGCAAAGCACTGCTCATTAAAATGTTGTATCCTATGTTATAGGGCTTGTTTCTCTCTACAATTTCCTGTCTCACAATGTACCGTTTGTGTTGGGGAAGGGATCATAGTTTCATAGTTGTCGATTTTCGAAAGAAATCAGTACATGTATATTATTTCGTATATGTTTCATTTTATTGATTTTGTGCAAAGCAATGTTCATTAAAATGTTGTACCCTATGTTATAGGAATGGTTTCTCTCGACAATTTCCTGTCTCACAATGTACCGTTTGTGTTGGGGGAGGGATCATAGTTTCATAGTTGTCGATTTTCGAAAGAAATCAGTACATGTATATTATTTCGTATATTTTTCATTTTATAGATTGTATGCAAAGCACTGCTCATTAAAATGTTGTATCCTATGTTATAGGGCTTGTTTCTCTCTACAATTTCCTGTCTCACAATGTACCGTTTGTGTTGGGGAAGGGATCATAGTTTCATAGTTGTCGATTTTCGAAAGAAGTCAGTACATGTATATTATTTCGTATATGTTTCATTTTATTGATTTTGTGCAAAGCAATGTTCATTAAAATGTTGTACCTTATGTTATAGGAATTGTTTCTCTCTACAATTTCCTGTCTCACAATGTACCGTTTGTGTTGGGGGAGGGATCATAGTTTCATAGTTGTCGATTTTCGAAAGAAATCAGTACATGTATATTATTTCGTATATTTTTCATTTTATAGATTGTATGCAAAGCACTGCTCATTAAAATGTTGTATCCTATGTTATAGGGCTTGTTTCTCTCTACAATTTCCTGTCTCACAATGTACCGTTTGTGTCGGGGAAGGGATCATAGTTTCATAGTTGTCGATTTCGAAAGAAATCAGTACATGTATATTATTTCGTATATTTTTCATTTTATTGATTTTGTGCAAAGCAATGTTCATTAAAATGTTGTACCCTATGTTATAGGGATTGTTTCTCTCTACAATTTCCTGTCTCACAATGTACCGTTTGTGTTGGGGAAGGGATCATAGTTTCATAAGCGTTGTTCGGGTTCTTATTATTACCGATTCTAAACCGTCCTAGAACTAGGCAGCGCATGCGCAAATTTAATAATTTCTTTATATGTCCATCTGCGCATGAGTATCACAGTAATCGGTAATAAAAAAAACCGAAGTAAGCTATAGTTGTCGATTTTCGAAAGAAGCAGTTCAGGTTCGGCCTCCTAGATCACGTAGGATCCGAGTTAGGACGCTGCAAAGACCCATTTAAATTGGACAATTATTTCGCCATTGATGATGGAGTTTCATAGTACACGTATTTATTTTTTCCCTGTATAGTATACATATGTCGGCTACCTACTTTTAACAGTATTCGTCGAAAATTTGTATAAACATTTTAATTACAGCATTGGAATGCGATAACGCAAATCCAATATCACAACGAAACATAAAATATTTACGTTCTGGCTTTACCCCACATACACACATATTATACTCGTAAAAATATATATTTATGGCAAAAAGGTCAGGTCCAAAAGCGCTCGAGAGTGAAAAAAAGTAAAATTTCCAACAATACATCATCTAAAACATTAATTCAAAGCTGTAATATAGTTTAATCAGATTTGACCTTAGCTAATTTCAAAACATAAACAAACAAGTGATATTGTTGTTTGAAATTTCTAATTAAAATCAATTTGTCCTACATTATGATTGTAATAACAAAGCCGAAGTAGAAACAAAACAACTGTTCGAAGTAACTGGTTAAAGTTTATGTTTTATTGGTAAAAATGTTTCGAGATAGCGTTGATCTTTGTTATTCCAATTTAAGCAAAAATTATTCAAAATAAATAGAAATTCGTTCGTTATACCGGGTATTTAAATTTTCAATACTCTTATAAGCTTGTAATTTTCAGGTTTAGACATAAAAAATATAGAAATACCATACGATCGAAAAAAAAAACGGCGTCAGAGATGCCTTGGAAATGGAGAAAGCTGTCATTTTATATAGAATCTAGTACTAAAGAACCCTAATACTAAAGTGAAGTGAAGTAAGAGTTGTTTTATTTATTTATATTATATGGAACGACGAACGACATCAATCGTCATTTCTAAGCCAACTAGACGCCGTTTTTTTTCGATCATACGGTATTTAAATAGGTGTACGACCTGCTACGACATGTAGTTAAATTGAAAGTGACTTTTGTTTTTATTAAAACAACATTAGGTACTCAAAATAAACTTGAACTTTTTAAATACAGGGTGAGAGTCAAATAATTACTGACATTTTCATTTCAGTGCTGATAGACTTCGACAAAATAAATATTTTCCCCTTTGCCGTTTTCAAAAAAGTCCAAAATAGCCGAGATTTTTTGGAAAATTAAAAAAAAAAACATATTTTTTGCTCAAATTTTGAGAACCCCTGTATATTTTCTAGGTTTTCTTTCCTCTAAATTTAATCTACTAACTATATTGCCGTATTATTACGATATTATGTTTTTTTAACAAAAAACATATCTGAAGCCTCACCCTGTATAATTTGATCCATAAATATATCAAATATTTCATAAATTATCATTTAAATGCACAACATTTTGGACCTGATAGTACAAAAACTTATTTAAATATTTTTAAGAATGTTTGGCAACCCTGAAAAATACTTACTTATAAGCTTGGTGTATCGAGACACTCGGTATATTACTCTAGATTGAAATGCCAATCCACACAATACTTTTTTATTGATTATTATTAATATTTTAATAAAAAATGTAAAATCTATCTTTATATTAAAAAAAAATGAACAAAATATCTTATATAATACGATTTATTTCAACATTTATACCTATATTCCAGTCTATTATTCTTTCTGACTGTGTTATCAAAAATAGAATTACGTAAATAGTGACAGCAAGTGTAAAAAATGAAACAGAATGCCATGGAAACAGTCCGCTATGTAAATTTCAGATTTTCCTTCCTCCTGCGGCGAAGTGTGATTCTGTTGCAGTGTGCTGTGGAAACATGTGATGACCGCTGTCAACAAATTCGTTTCGAGAAGAATAAAAAGTTTGTCCCAGATAAAAAACTATCGATTTAGTATCTTTTAAGTAATTAAAATATTGATTAAGTTGTTTAAAGACTAATATAGAGCATTTTCAGTGCGTTTTGTTGTGATTTCGAGTTTGATGTGTGGATTTCAAAGAAGTACGATGTTCTGGTTGTACTTTTCTACCGATGCAGAATGCAGATATTGGATCGTAAAGCCAAAACCAAGTAAGTAATATCAGTTTTATATTCATATATCATTTCTTTTTCTTAGTCATCCATATTTAAATGTCTGAAATCAGTTTTATATTTATAATTCATAGGTTAAAAAAGTCCATTAGTTTCATAATATCTAAATGTTCCAAATTTAGTGAGTAGAAAAATAAAATAAAATACCATGCAATGAAGTTAGCCCTATATTATTTTGCCTATAATAATTTTGAGCGCAGCGCAGAGTTTTTTTAGTAGTAGTGGGCCACGAAAAAACGTCTGAAATAGCGCCTGTCAAAAAGTTTGTTTAGTTTTTATTGATTTTTTTTTCTGGTACTAGGTAAAAAGTTTATTTCGCAAATATAGCATGGTTTTATTAAATTTCTGACTTTCCTGTGTTGTGTTTTCAAGAAATTTGTCGATTTTGCTGATGTTTCAAGCATATTCTGGAAATTGTAAGTAACTTTTTGGTTTTATATTACACGTATTTCAGTTGCCTACATTTTTTAAGTTGATAATGTCTAATTATTTTAGAAAAGGAACAAGGGGATTTAATTATTGATGTATGTATTTTATCGGTCTTAGTAAATATATTTTTAATAAGTAATTACATAAGCCATGACGTATGTGGTGTGCAAGTGAATTATGGATTATTATATTAATGCAGGGGTTGCTTCATGATGTAATATTAAACATACAGGGTGTTTCATAATGGCATGCTAATATTTAAGGGGTGATTCTAAAAATTTTAACTT